ATAGTTCATGTTACGTAACGAGGTCGTTACTGTAAGTGATGATTGTATCAATATACTTTCGTTGTTCATTCTGGTGGGTATCGTGACGGCTGGTGGTCGATACCCACCGTATCGCCCTAGTGAAAATACTCATCAAGCGAGTACGACTTTCCAGCGTGAGTACTCATATTACTCACGCGAGTACTCAAGGAATTTTATGTGTATTTTTACTCTCCATGTACTCTAATGAGTACTCGTACGAGTGTATTTTTAAAAATTTACTCATAGGCAGACAGATGAGTACTCAAAGTCGTACTCATGCTAGTTGTTTCGCAGAATATTTAGCAAAACACTTATGCATTAGCATATACAAAAATAAATTGAAGTTATATAATAAAAAAAACTAATGTAATAAAATGAAAAATAGAGAAAATCAATTGAATAAATTATTTATTTTATACTCTATTTTTTTTTGGATGAATCATTTGTACGGATAAAACAAATGGTGACTTTAAGATAGAAAAGAATAATGATTTTTCATTTTCATTTGTTCAATTCTTCGGAAGGATTAAGTTTTTTCTAAATATATTAATGTAGATTCGTTTTTATTTTATTTCCTAAGCTTAGGCCAAAATTCTTTCATTAAAATGCAATTTTTTTAGATTGATTGTAGAATATCATGGAACACAAGGCAGTTCGCAAATTGTGTTACAAATCGATCGCGATTTTAAAATAAGAAGATGTGTTAATAAACTATAGACAAATAATTTTATTTTGTATTTATTTTTTTGTAAATTTCCTGATAATTGTAAATAGCGATGGATTTAAAAATGTCTGTTTAGTTTTCTAGTGTAATAAGCAATACTGTACGTTCATTTATTGTCACGTTTCTCATCGTCGTTGATTAATTTATTATTTTTCTGCTTCAGTGTATTTTACTGTCCTTAATTTATGTCTTATTGTACTCTCATTCTCTAGGATATAGACAAAGAAACTTTTATTGTTAGAGAAGATAATTAAATATTTCTTTTTTCTTTATTTTATATAATGAAAGTACGTTTTTATTTATTTTTTCGAAAGAAAAATGAAAAGAATAAATAAAATTGTATTTTTATGGTATGTAAATACAGAAAATATTTAAATTTCTTCGCTCCTAATAAAGATTTCTATGTCTGTAATCTTTACGTTAAAATATATCAAAACTGATATCAAATTTGTCGTTCTCATGTTGATCATTTTTCTCAACCTTTCATTATGTCCTCTGTTTGTTGATAGTATTTTAATATTAAATAAAAATTAATGTAGTACAACGGTACTAACCAAAAATATGCTTATAAGTATCTTACATAGGTCAGCAGAGCACACAGATACTAGATAGTAGTACTCACAAAACACTCAATATTACACAGCGAGTACTCGATTGTCGTACTCAGATACTCAGATTCTAGCAGGAGTACTACTGATGAGTACTCAAAATGCGTGAGTACTCATGAGTACTCGTGACATTTTCTAGCGTGAGTACTTTTTGAGTACTCGCCTATGAGTACCTTCACTAGGGCGGTATTATGACATCTATGCGAAAAGACGGTTTATAAAACAAAAAGAATAATAAATAATAATAGTTTATAACAATTATGAATCGCCTTCCTTCTTTTCGTGTGTTGTTTTCTCTACATATTTTGCTTGATTACTGACTGTGTCAATATCGTTTATTGCTATCGTTACCATATGAGAACGAGAAAATTGTCTCTTCTCCTCTAATATGAAAAACATTTGACACACTAAAAGCACAGATTCGATCTCTGACTGTCGATTCTAGATAATGATTCCCTTTAATATTGTTCTATTCACTGGGTCTGATTCGTTTGATCACACTACATCATTATCGTCCGCACACCATAGTCAACTATTATGGAGAAACATTGAGACGACAATTCAGCGTATTAATCATCGTTGTGAAACAGTTCAATTAGATCAACTCGATTTTAGCGAACAAGAAAATATTAACAAGGTTCTCAATGCTGATCTTGTTATTATGGTAAGATTAATTTTATGATTAAAATAAGAAGATTTTCAATTGAAGAAAAAATCTCTGTTGCGATTGAAAATCAATTTATCCTCTGTCGAAATCCCGATGATATCATGAGAGTATGAAAAATCTTCGAACCGGTTAACGAGAACTAAAATTTTGGTAGCATAGCAAACGTCATTGTGTGAAAAAAATATCTTCCAAAGCATGCCGATTATTTGTTACTCTGACAAAAAAATCATTTTTGAGACATAAGCTTCATGCGACTTCGATGAGACAATAGAATCGTCGTTGAAAACACGTGCCTTATGACAATAACAAATCACCGATTTTATCATATCTAACGGGTCGGGCGAAAGTTTTGAAAAAAAATTTTTCTTCACTCTTCGATCGATTACTACGGCTAGCAAACATTTAAAACATTTCGTTAGAATCAGAATTTTAATGTTCTTTGGAAATCTCGATTCGAAATTTTCGCGAAACTTATAGGTTAGCGGGTCTTTCAAAGACTTAAAAACAAAGAGATGAAAAATGCGACCATATCCATTTTGAAATTGATTTCATAGTGTTTTTCAGCAACTTTTATCGTCACTTCCTTATGTCCGCCACAGAGACAATGACCATTTCCTTTTCCTCAGTCGCATCATCTTTTAAAACTTTTTGGATCACCATTCAAGTAATATGCGTCATTTTCGTCAACCATGCCACTTATTGAACACTTTTCATCATCGAACTTTTGTGCAGTGTGAAAGACGAGAGCATTCTCTGCAAAATGAGCTAAGATCTGTCCCTTATGCAAACTGTTGTGGTTAACAGACAGCTTGTAGAGAACTCTTTCCTCTTGCTTTTGGTGCATTTGAGGTAATTCTTTTCTTTCACACTGAAATTCAGATTTGAAAAGCTTGTAAATTTCTCATTCTAACTCAATATTTTTTGAATTTTTGCTGATCCCCCTAATCAGTCGAACAATGAAGACACATTTTATTTCAAAACTTTCGATCCATTCATTGTATGATAATCTCTAAAACTCGAAGCGTCTCAAATCAAAGATAGAAAAAGGTAAACTACGCTATTTCACCAAACATGATGATCTCTTATTAATTCAAGAAGATTAAACAACAATCTGTTTATTGTTTGTAGGATGTTACAAATCAAGAACATCGTCCAACATTTATGTATTATAAAAGTAATCGAGATAACTTCTATGATATTGTATTGATTGAAACAAACGCTGCTGACAATGAAAAAGCTATTCAAGATTTTCTAGTATTTTTGAAAAGAATTATTTGACATCATTATATTCATCTTTGATCCTTCTAGACGATATGTAACATTCAAAAATTGATTGTCTATCAATATGATAGCGAGAAAGATATTTTCTACGATATAACTACATTATCCAACAGTTCACCACCATTGCTTACAGCAACTCTCGAAGCGTATCTTCCAGAAGCTGCTGCCAACATTTTGTATGTTTATATTTGTTTGGAGATTTTAGTTAAAATCGTTCACATCTTGTAGACAAGGACTAGCTGATCGATATATTGCTCGAATAGATGCTTGTAAACTCTCAAAGAAAGATAAATTATCTCATTCTAATGCATGTTGGACTTTTCTTGTTCTTGTAAAACTCTTTCATATGCACGTATTTCTAGTTTTTACGAAATGAAATATACAATGAGATAATTAATGAAAGCAATAAAACCTATGTGACACAGAAATTGATCCTTCATCTGATGATCGCCTTTCAAGATATTGAAGTAAGTCAAATATATTTTGTTTTTTTATTTCATTTACACACTCGTTTTGTTTTTCAGGACTATGAATCAATGATTGAACTCAGTGAACAGTTCAAAGAAATAAATAACACGCAATTCACTTATTTAATCGCATTTGCGCTTAGTCGGTAAATCCTACGATAATAAATATTGTGTCGAGCAAAAAAAACAAAATGATTATTTTTCTCTAGACGAAATCAAAACGATGATCTTGATAAAGCATTGAATATTCTCGAACAATTGTGTACAACGAAAGAGATCGATAGTGAATTGATGAATGATACCAGTTGCTTGTATGGTCGCATTTACAAAGAGAAATTTAAACAAACAAATTATCTCAATCAAGAATTTTTGCACAATGCAATCAAATGGTATCGACGCGGTTTTGAAACCAATCCAAATCTTTAGTAGACGATCTAGTTTTTTTTTTATCAAAAAAAAACAAATACTGAAGTTTGTCTTTTGATCTAGCGCTGGTATCAATTTACTTATTCTCTTACATATCACTATCGATGACTTGAAAAATAATCCTGAAACATACGATATCAGTAAGATATTTCAGATTTTTATTTATTTCAAGAGTCAAATAAGATAAGGACAGAACAAGCGTGCAGTTGTAAGAAGACTAAATCACATTCGTTTCATATTCGAAGGATTCTATTAGAGCTGCCAATAAATCGCTTGTTTCGAGCATCATCTGATTTTCAGTCGTATGATAATAGGGTCCAAGTTTTAACCTAGAAATTATTAGATCTGTTGGGCTCCAATACCAGAATAAACCAGATCGATCGCTTTCTTTTTTATCTGGGAATAACTACATCAAATGTTTAATATATTTCTTTGACGGCGTTGCTGTGGTGTAAGTGTCTCTTATTCACTCCCACACCCCTCAAGTCTATCTCTTGGATGGTACAAATGAATAGCACATCATCGAAACGTTGGAAAGGTAGACTAGTTTTTCGTTTGGTTAAAAACAGTTTTGCACTGTTGAAATGACGCTCCACTCCAACGCTCATAAATTTGTCTCACTTATTTAGATACATGAGGAGATAGATTGCCAAAACATAAGAATCATATGTATATATATATAGGCTAGGTCTGCTCAGATCCAGACCATGTTAGCAATTCTAGGTCATATATTGTAAAACGAAATAGCCCTGGACAACTTTCGAAGAAATCTAATTTTCACCCATAGTTTATAATCAGGCGTTTTGATGCTCTGCTTAGTTATTCAACTTAATATATTACTCGGAAAAAAGATCCGTTGGCTCGAAGGTTCAACTGACTATTGGGATGTAGCTACCTATTTTGAGCTACATGCAGTGCAACAAGAATGGAAAAAAGCATGTCAGGCTGCTTTACAAATGTATTTACTTAATCCATCGAGTTGGCGTTTTAAGACAACAATGAACAATTTGAAAATAGTTCATGATGCAAGACTGACGCTTAATAAACAAAAATCTAGCAAACAACTGTCGAGTAAAACGACTAGTGAGGATGGTGTCTATAATTTTTGGATCGAATTCTTCAACGATGCTATCAATTCCGATTTGAAATCGTTGGAAAATAAAGAACTACCTGCACAATTGCCTGTAAGTACTTGATAATTAGCTAGATATTTCATATCAATACTCGAGTGAAATTTGTCTTTTTCAGATTCTTGTTCGTGATAATTATGAACGAGTTGATGGGACCGGTTTTATGAATATGTATGTTGAAGGACGTTTACAACTGAATTTTCATACTGGTACAGACACCCAAACATTGGTTATTCGTCTGTTAGAACAACATAAACATATTCCTGATCATGATCGTGTGAAAACTATTGAAATGAATTTAATCAAATCCATTGTGTAAGCAAATTGAACATGATTTTATTCGTCATATTGTTAAGAATGTAACTTTTTGTACAGAGATGTTAAAAATGATAATCGATCGTTGCATATCTGCGCTTATGAGAATAACAAAGTATTTAAGTCGTTTCAACTTCAAATATTCTTTTCTTCCGCCGAACGTTGCACAGCGTAAGTCTGATTGTGATTCCGATATTCTCTCCTACAATCTACTTTGATTCGGTGTAGATTCAATAGAAAAATGTCTAAATATCGACGTGAAACAAGTCATGTGGAAATCGAGAAAAAATTCGATGTAAGTAAGCTGATGATCATTTTCAAAAGCAAAAGGAACATTAAAAAGAAAGACAAGAAATATTTACACTTAATGCGAATTTATTATTTGTGTTTCTAGTTTGAATTTGAATGTAATGAGCATGGACGTATTGAGCTAGGTCGTGGAAAGTTCGGCATAGTCTATCTAGCAAAAGATTTGTATATGATGAAGAAATTTGCTATTAAAGAAGTACGAATATGTAAACCAGACGATATCAATGCAATACAGACTGAAATCAAGAATATATCGACACTTAATCATAAGAATAGTATGGTTACTAACAAGTTGATTGTTTAATTGTGTTTTTGTTTGTGTCTCTTATCTTTTCAGTCGTGAAATATGAAGGAACGGCAATTATTCGTGATAGAAAACCGCCGGTATTTCAGATCATCATGGAATATGTCGAAGGGTCAGTCATACAGATTCGACGAAAGAAGCTCGAAATGTAACGTTCTTCTTCTTCTGTTTCAGTGGAAGTCTTTCACAATTAATTCGCAAGAAATTTGTTCAATTCAATGAGTTATGGATCAAAATCTATACGAAACAAATTCTTGAAGGAATACAATATTTACATGAAAATCATATTATCCATCGAGATATCAAACCGGATAATATTCTTGTCAATTCAAATGGGTATTGTATAAATGAATTCACATGATCTATCTGATTTTTTGTGACTTTAATATTCGAAGGGAAATTAAAATTACTGATTTTGGCACATCGATACATCTTGTTGGTTTGCGTCGTGGTTCAGATACCATCGGTCAGTAGTCATCAAGAATGCACTCAGGAGTTTTCTGAGAAAAGAAAGACTCAACTTTAGAAACGACGTACTTTTGAAGTATCGGTATCACAATGAATGTGATAATATAAAATGCCCTTCATAATTATTAAAAAAGTCAAACAAACTTTAAAAAACTACATAGATTCCCATGTTAATTACACGGTTACTTTCTTAAGACTATCCTTTAACTATCATATACCTTGATGTAATTCGTTCTCCGTGTTACAGATCTATGTCTCTATCTTCAGTTTTCTTGCTGTTTGATATTCAGAGAATGGAAGACTCGTTCGTTGGATTGTTATGTCTTAAGATATATATATTGTATATCCTTGACTATCACTACACTTTCATTTCTCCCTTAACTGTTTTTTATCCGTCTGACCGGTTTTTCTACGGTTAAACTTCAAAGAAGCCTTCTCCTATGCCTATAGGTACACCTCAATATATAAGTCCTGATATGGTGAATATTTCTCCTACGGGTTACGGACCAGAGGTAAGTTTCTGTTTGTTATTTGCAAAACTCGATCAAAATCTTATATCGTTAGGTAGATATTTGGAGCATTGGATGTACAGTACTTGAGATGGCTACTGGAGAGAAACCATATCATGAGAGTAAGCCATGAAACTTTGAGTAATTCTCGTATATATTGCAAATATTTAAATTATTTTAGTTACCAATCCATTTGCCATACTGTACAAGATTGGTGTCGAAAAACAACCGCCTCATATTCCTGAAGCATTGTCTAAAAATATCAAAAGCTTTTTGAATAAGTAAGCCTCAATACTAGTGTACATTGATTTTTCATCAGTACGACGATACTTTTTCTTTCAAGATGCTTTTCATCGACTCGAGAACATTCATCGGCTAAAGATCTCTTAAATCATTCCTTCATCAGGTAAGTCTTTTCTCCAAATAATGAGATTACGGTATGCAATTTCCCATTATAAAATACAAGAAAAATAAAATCAGTTTCGAATTTTTCTATGATGAAATCCAATGTACTAGACTATTTTAAAGAGAATATAATGCAACATCAATAGATGAAATTATGTCTGACATTTTTCTATTGTATCTAGAATGAAAAGAAGATTACCGAGCGACAGTGGTAATGTTATATAATTAATATTTCAAATAGGAAAACTCTGATCTTGAATAGATGTTGTTTTCGATGCCAAAAATCATGTTAACGACGAAATAAGTAAAAGGTGCGTCTAATACATATTTTTGGGAGTATTTTGTTTGTTTTATTGGCTCTTTTAGTCGAACAACGGATGTATATGGTTCATTGAAATCATCAAAACGAAGAACTAGTCAAAGAGAACATATATTCGAGTATAAAACATGTGCAAACTTCCAAGTAAAAATTTCCTATGAGTTCTTATAGGACTGTGCATAGTCTTGAATTCCAATTATCGACTGGTAATCATAATCGACATGAATCGAACAACCTTTCAGAAAGATCTAGAAGCAACGATCATGTAAAATATCGGAAAACAAAAACAGATTGTTTTATTACAATTGCTTGTCTTTTCATGTAGATACTCGACGAATGGATGAATTTGATTGAAGAACAATGTCAAATTGAGCCAATAACACTTGTATGTATGTCATACTTGAAAACAGTTCATAATTATCGTTTTGATTTAAGGAAAGTTTTCGTGTACTACTATCAGCCATTAGTGAATATTTGAAAGGATTAACAAGAAATTCCCTAGACGTGACACAAAGTGAGGCAAGACTAAACGAATTCAATTCGTATCGATCATTCGTACTGTTTTGTTCAGATGAAACAACTCATGATCAATCTGTGATGACTCATGATTTACAAATCGATTTTCAACGAGCTTTTTATTATTTTATCAAATCGGTAAGTTTGAATGTGATCGGATCGGATAGAGTTTCACTAGAATCAAAGAATTTTCAGACAAAAATCCTTTTTTGACTTTGTTGATTTAGGCTAATAGAATCATTTCAAATAAGAATGGTCTATCTCCACATGTTCTATTCACAATTCATAAACATCTGCATAGTGTTATTAAACAATTCGTTGAACTCATCGGACCAGGTGTTATTATTTTTTTTTCTTACAATCAATTTTCATATGTCTAAACAACTTCGTCAATTTAGACCTTGTCTCTGCTGTCATGAATCCATCGACAACATTGAACGATGTTCAAATATTGAATCAGCTTGATCAACATCCACTGTTTGCTCATAGAAACCAAACCATGTCTAATACAGTGACTCAATTATATGGACAATACAATCGATTGGATGAATCCAATAGAGAGTAAGTGAATTCTTATTTGATTTTCATAACATTGAATTTTCTTCTTTTTCAAAGTCAATTTCGTCGATTAATTCTTTCGCAAAATGAAGATGAATCACTTTTCACTGAAATCATCGAACATCAACAGGAGACCTAGAAGTAAAAAGAATCTGATTATGTGTTTGCATAGTCATTCAACTTTTCAGATGAAGTCCGTAAAACTAACAGGAAATGTGTTCATCAAAAAAGTACTCTATCAAAAACGATTCGAGGAATTTTCGTGACCTTTTAAAACTTGTTTTCTGTCCTTTTTCTGTCAAATAAAACAACTATGAAAATTTCACAGTTATAAATCAAATTGAGAAAAAAATCTCTTTCGAATGTTTTCCAGTAAACAATTAACGGCAGAAATTCGAAGATTCATTTGAAATGTAACAACGAAGTAAATCTCTGCATGTTTTACTGCATCATAATTTGCGTTCTCTTATTGAATAAGAAAGAAATCTTTAAGAAAATCAAACCGCAAAAGAGCTGTCTCGAGTCTTTCTAATTTTTATGAATTAAACATTTCAGAGAATATATTCAATAAATTGACTATGCTTAAACTGTTACTCTCTATACTTGAGGTAGAATGATCAACGAGCACCAGTACGCCGCCAGCACACTTAAAACAATTGAATAAAAAAATGTTCAGCACGATGTTTAACTTTTAAACAGTCTACCACGATACTCATGACTACCATTGAAGTGGATGCGGGTGTGGGCGAACAGAAGCACTACAGCCCGCACCCACACCCACATTCCGTAATGGAATAATAAAGTTGCAATCACTAATTTACAATCAGTTAATATCAAATGTAGTCGTACCCATGTGAAAATATGCTTGGATTAAAGCTCGTTATTTTTTAGGGAAATATGAAACATTTCAAACTGTCGATGAAGTTTGTCTTGATAATATTAACTTGACTTTTTGTTTGTGTGGCGAAAATTCATTTATAAAATGTGTGTTTGCTATTTGTAGACGAGTTTTATGTTTTCATTATTTTTATGAGTCATATCATTATCATTAATTACTATATATTATTGTAAAGAATATGTTTTTATATATGTGAATAAATGAAAAATACAAAATCAAAGAAACTCAAAAAAATGTCTTTTTCGTACTTACAAAGAGTACGTGAACTAGAAACAGTTGGAACTATCCTTTAGTTATACATATTATCATGGAAACATGATACAATTTTAATATTTTTTCTACATGCTCTAGCTTATTTTGTATGTAAAATGCCTTAGATTCGATCCCGATGGCTACAGTTCTCTTTGCTTCTTCTTTTCTATAACTATTCTGAGAGTAGGCTAATGCAAACTTTGATTATCAGAGATTTACCATTCAATGTACCGTTTGCTCGAATGATTATTGTATCAGTTAATAACTCAACAAGCTTTACAAATTGGTCCCACTAAAATTTTAAAAACGATTGATCAATCCTATGCCTTCCCTTGTTAGTACTTTTCTCTATGAAGTTGATAAATCATAAGCCTGTATGCGACAAAAAAAATAATAAGCGTCCAAGTTTATGTCGTTCCTTGATATTACTTATATGATAAAAATAGAATTATTATTTTGTATATTGAATATATATTAATAGCTGATTCAGAATGTTTAGTCTTGCATACAATGATGTGCACACAGCCAAAGGTTCTATCAAACTTTCTACATTGAAAAATATAATAAAGAACATATAATAAAGACAAAAAGAAGAAAAAAAAAGAATATTTGTGAATAAGACTTTTTTCTTTTCATTTGGACGTGTTTTCTTCTTCGTTGTGATTTAACTGTTATAGCAAAAAATGTTAAGTGAAAACAACAGTTCTTTCGACGATACAACAGTATTACCTTCTGAAATTGCCATTCCTCGTCAAATTCGTTTTTGGATTATTCTTCTCTTTTGCATTCCATCGGTTATTTGTTCTTTGTTCATTTTCTATCAATTTATTGTCCATCCAAGATTACGGCAGGCTCTACATAATCATGTTATTGCTCTTCTTCTTTTCATCAATTTTATTTTTCAACTAACAAGTATCCTATGGAGTCTTAATTACTATCGTTTGGGAAATGTTTGGCCAGAAAATTCTTTCTTTTGTGTCACATGGGCTTTTATTGATGAAGCTTTCTATATTACAACAGCAATTCTATTTGCTTGGGCAACCATTGAACGACATATTTTTATCTTTCATGATTATTTAGTATCAACAAAATATAAATTGATTTTTTTTCATTATTTACCACTGGCTATACTTCCTCTCTATTGTATCTGTTATAGCATTATTATAGTTATTTTCCCACCATGTGAAAACACATATGATTACAATCAAATTACATGTGGTAATCCTATTTGTTATTATGAAGTTCCAACAGTAGGAATGTGGGACGTTATAGTGAATGATATAATACCTACAATAGTTATTATTTTATGCAGCATTGCTCTTCTTTTACGTGTCTTCTATCAAAAATATCGAATACATCAACAAATTCATTGGCGGCGTCATCGAAAGATGACGATTCAAGTATTATCAATTTCAGCTCTGTATCTTTTCATATACTTCCCAAATGTGTTACTGGAATTCATTGATCTTTGTGGCATTTCTGAAGAAGCTGATGCCGATTTTAGATTATATGCTGAATTCTTTGAAAATTATGGCACTCTTTTATTACCTTTTGTATGCACTATATCGATGTCTGAACTTAGAAAACAAATTAAGAAAATAATTCCATATTGCCGAAAACAAACACGAGCAGTTGGCCCTCAAAGATTAGCATTATCGCGTCGTGTAGTTGGTCCATAATTAACAGGAACAATTATTACTAACCGATCATCGTTGTGTTGTCTAATTAATAAAACCTATATCTTAATTTGAGAGCATTTTCATCAATAACATGAGTAATGATACTCATAAAAATGATTTAAAACGGTTTTGATGTGACATAGTCTGTTCTACAATACATACTAACTCGAATTTTTCTATTCGCTTAATAGATTATATAATCAAGTCAATAGACAAAATTTGCTGCTCTAGTTACGATCAGAAGTCATAGCATCGAAGATTGTTGGCGTATTCTCTGCTGTATCTGACGACAGAAGCAAAAAACATGCTTATACTCTACATGTCGTGTCCTATTCAGTTAAAGTTAGATGCAATGTTGCTAGCGGTGCAGCTTGAAGACAAAATATTTATTAATATGTCAGATACTAATAATAAAAGCTGTAAGTTCGACCCCTGCGGAAGTCATATATGAAGAATGTGGTTGTAGAATGTGTGTGTTGGATGTGGGTCGAAACAAGAAATATGCCAACACTCGATGCCCTCACATAAAAGCCATATCCACACCCACACTCTGTTTTTTTTATTGGCAAGAAATGGACGACTTTATTAAGTCTTTACAGTAAAAAAGTGAAAAGTATAAATATAAAGTAAAGAAAGTGAAAATGAAAAAGAAGATCAGATATGTGTAGACACGTTACGAGAGGATTATCAGAAAATTAATGGCACATTAACTAACATGTAAAGTGTTTACATCAATACACAACAAAAGCATTTCTTTATTGTATTACTATGTTCAAGGAAACACAAAAATGTGAGCACTGTTAAAAAGTCTCCGGAAAGTCACAGAGTCATAATGTATTCAATGTTATCATGTAAAATCGATTCATTCAAGGGTTTACCCGCACACCAGGAGATAAATGATTCCAACAATGAAAAATGTTCTACATATCGTTTTGATCTGAAAACTCCCTTTATACTGTTTTCGTCTTGCAGTTAAATCCTTCTAAACATATTCAAGTTTGCCTACTCACACACTAACTCACCGTCTATAGTATCTGATAATGCTAATAAATACTTATTCCAATATCTCAAACATCTGTCCTCTAATGATATTTCATCGAATACGTATGAAAAGAAGTTGTCACGCTACTGTAAACAAAATAATACTCTTTTTAAACTTGTGTAATAAAAATGATTTAAATCTTGTTGTTGCTTAACTATAAATAGTGAGGAGAGAGGAAACAGCCAAGTAAACAAAGGAAGAACATAAGGAAGAAATAACGCTCTTCTCAATGCTGGAGTAGTAGTACCTGAGAAACGAAAAGAATTTATCATAATGATACGTTGTCTAGTGTGGATGTGGATGTGGATATTGGTATCAGTATGGTTCTTTATTGAACACCCACACCCTTTTGGTTTTGATTTTTTCTTCCTTATGTTGGCATTTTTTTCTGGTGCTTTTTTCTTTCGATGTTAGTAAAAGATTTATATCTTGTACTTTCTTTTATTTGTCTCTTTTTCATCTGTATCACTTATACTGTTACTATTCCATGTGTCGTTGTTATTGCTATTACTTGTTTCTTCGTTATACTCGATGTTACTGTTCTCATTACTTTGTCTTTTGGTGTCGATAACTATCATATTTAAAATTGCTGAGTATCTTTTTCTATAAAGTCGTGTTTGTGATACTTCTGCAGCACCTATCATTACAATGTCATTTCCATTTTTCTCTCACTCTTTTCCTTTATGATTGGCTACTTGCTTAAAAATTTTCTATTTCTTACTATTCTCTTTAGAATGTCTCCTTTGATAATATATGTTTGCACCCACGCCTTCACAACTACATCCACACTCTAAACTACTTAGAATAGAGATGACTTTGGCAGTATTATACATTCGTGTAAGGGTTTACAGACATATAATATGAACCATGGAAAAGTCTGATTATACCGTTAGATAGAGCTCGTGAAGTTGTATGCAAAGCAAGAATTGGAGTTCTAAAATGAATCTTTAGGCGAATCCACTGTTAACGTCATCCACGCATTCCCAAACAACTAGTGAGATCATTGAGCAAGATCATGGCTGATCTATTGAAAATTCTTCAGGATGATCTGTTGAGTTGCAATGACTACATCACGAACCCCACCTCACACTCTCATGTTTTTTTTTTGATTGATAAAAATAATTTTTTTCTATTTTTACACTGTTACAAGGATGTGTTCCACTTTGCTAAGGGTTATCATAAATCGATAAAGAAAAAGCTTTTTATATGATCCACATTGAACAATTTTCGAAAAAGACATTCGTATCATTGAATTACATCTGAAAGACCTTGCAGAACTCTAACAATTGGATTATTTTCGTTAGCCTACAGACATTATAAAGAATCTGGAGCATTTGTCACAAAGGAATTCGATTGAACTGAAGCTTTCAATTGGTTTCGCACGTAAATAATCTCTTCGAGATAGCGACCAACATTTGAGTCGGTATGGCCAACAGTAAATTGAGCATACTGAATAATGAATTCCGTAGATACTAAAAATTGCTCGAATCCAATACGATTAAATGGATCAAAACATGCTTGTGATGCAAATATATTATACATTAACTGTCGACTAAGCAAATGCTTTCTTGCGTAGGGTTCATCTATTCCTGTCGAGTTCGGATTAGCACAATCTTGAATAGACTTCATCACAGATACATCATTGTCATAATAAATACTGATGAGAATGTCTGATTTAGTTCCTGTTCTTTATCAACTAATCCTTTGACATACATTGATATGTTACGCCATCTATTATATTTGATCCAGAATGAAATCTTCGGGCATTTTGTCACCACGACAAATAAATATTGCTGCTGTGTCATTTAAAGTACATTCATGTTTATCCCATAAATAATTTGACCAATGGTCAGCCAGAAAATGTGTCAGTTGATGAATGCGTGGCGCAAAACAATGAAAATTGGCTACGAACATATACCGAAGGAATAGTGTAAAAACACGATCTTGCCATGTTAGTTTGTATTGATTGCCTGGTAAATGTCGTTTTGACTCTTCATACGGTCGATTTCTTGGCATCCACTGGTCAAGAAAATTATCTGTAAGTGATAGAGCTCGATAGATATGTTCATCTGTGTGATTGATGAGCACTACGACGGGTAGATTGTAGGTTGGATTAACTTGATTGCGACTAGATATCCATCAACGAACTGGTACATGTTCATAACCAAATGTCCATGTTGTGTCATTGCCTAATATAAAGTACTTACTACTTTTTAACTGATTTCTATAGAGAAGTTCTTGAATATCTGTCACATACGATGAAAGATTACTTTTATCTCGAAGTATTAGTGCAATGGATTTCATTCGCGAATCATTTAATCCTTTGGCTCCCGGCTTTTTTGCAAATATTAAAGCTTTTGAAAATAAGTCCAAAATATGATTTTTTAGAAAATGATTATATTTCTATGTTCGAAAAAAATAAAGCAAATGAAAAATAAAACTAGAAAAATTCCAACACATCTCTACAGTGAATAAAGGGGAAAATCCCATGAGTCACTACATCACATGATCCAAAAGGAGAATGTTTTTGATTCGTTCTTACTCTGATCTTTTATTATTCGGACGATATATATATTTATATATACTACGGGTTAGAAATGGAAAAGAATCTACTGAACATAATTAATACAAGAAAAGAGCGAAAAAAAAAGTGATTTTACTGGCGTACACTGAAATGACTGAAAATGTAGATGAAATGTATATATGTGTAAAAATATCAACCAGAAAGGAAAAAAAGAAGAAATGACTTGCATGATACCACCTAACAAACGATAAGAAGCTTTTCTAAACAGTTAAAAAATATACTACTGCGGCCTTTATCTGATAAATACATTTCAATACATATATATGTTGCCGAGAGCGAAAGGGTTAAAAATATTTAATATTTTTATTGTGAAATGATTTATAGAACATTCTACATAATTTAAATGAATATAGATTTTTTTTTTCTTTGTTAAAATTAGAAGTACAATATTGATCTGGTCGGTGTTTGTGGCGATGTCTAATGAAGAAGCAATTGTGCTACAAAGAATAATAATGTATAAGTAATAGAGTTTGTAGTGTTTACTATTCTTACTATTTTTTTCAAGCTGAAGAATCGTATTGTATATAGCGTCGGTACTTTCCGAATCAGTGGCATTGGTACTACGCATTAGAGCAAAGTCTTTTGGTTGCGATTTTTTCCATTTGATCTTACGATCAAATACTAATTTGTCGAATTTGGCACCTAAATCAGTCGCTATCTTAACAATATTAGATCGACTACCTAGCGAAGAAATTAATGCTTTGGCATCAATTGGTTTGAGAGCATTCAATGTTGCTTCATCCACAATGTTAGACATCAAACCATTGATATCAATAATATTTTCGACAAATGTTTGACACATATTATTTTCACCAGCATCATATTTGAAAAAATTTTTGTCAACATTCGATGCTACAGAAATTAAACGATTGAGTGTTAATGGTTTATTTGGTGTTAAAGGAATATCATATATATCAATCAATTCGTCTGGTATAGATGGATATTTAAGAGCAATACGTTGTGCTTTCTCAAGTTTAAGAATAGTGCTAGGAATTTTATTTTGTCTAGCATTTCCTAGTATATGTTGTAGTACTTGAGATTCACGACTATTCTGAATAGTAATGAGTAAATAGTTGTGATAGATTTCATCATAACCAAGTTCAAGTTGTTTATTGGTAAATTTTGAATGACTTAAAAAGTCAAGTATTTTAAGAGGAAAATCTTGAACAGGTGTTCGACCAAGTTGAATTTTAAGAATGAGTTCATCACCCACTTCTTCCAATAGATTTCGTACTCTTAATGGCATCTCTGGATGATTTTTTGCAGGAATAAGTTGTGATGTATCATTCCTGGGCTATGAATAATAAATATTGGTCAATTACTTAAGAGAATAATGACAAAATAAGAAAAAAAAAAGTTAATTGTCTTTTCAACATGATTGTCTATTTTCATCAAATTCATTACAGAAATTGATTCAAAATAAGATTTGAATTATTCAAAAGATAAACAATCTTTGCTCTTACCTTTGCAATTAGGAAATTGGCTGCTATCATTGTTTTTTCAGAGCACAATCAATCTATGATTGAATAATATATAGATTCCACTGCACGAGTCTACACAAGAAGTGATATATCAGATGAACGATATCTAAAAAGATGATTGAATAAAATAAATAAGAGGTTATAACTTTGCTGAATTAATTAATTTATTAAAATATTATTGAAGAAGATAATTGTTAGAAAATCGAATTTAATGTTTTTAACTCATCGTCATATTTATGTTGATTATCAAAGTTATCGATATCATTAATTAGATATCATCAGTAGATTGTGTTTGATAAAAACATCTAAAAAACAACTGCTTGTCAGTATTATTCATCACTGCATATACTCGCATGAGGAATGAAAGATTCAATCGACGTTTACCTTCGTGTTTTTTTTATAACTAGTGCAACAAATGCATATTTAATATTGCAAGCTATTCACTTGCTTGAAATATATTTTTTTCTGGCAGTAGCGGAGTGTCGTGTCATGCTGTCAATATTGACGTGGTGCTTTATCATATTCTCTTTCTTCTGTGCGCATTTACATACGTGTTTATTGTCACTGAGTAAATTGAGAAAAAAAAAACCTTCATACAAATATCTAACTTAACAACACTAATGAAATGCAGTGTATTTCTAACTAAAATAGATTAACAATAAAAATACAAGAGACAGATTGATTTATTTTTCTTTATCAAATTTCACAGATAAATTACAACTATAAAAAAAATACACTGAAGTTACAAATAATTATTCGAAATAAAAATATCAAATTAATTCAAGTAATAGTGCAGCATATGCTGTGTTCGCTGAATGATCAAATTTTAGACTTTATTTAGTAGAATTTTCTCAAAATCATAAGTATAATAGTAAATTGAAGTACATTTCGCTATCTGTCATGCATTTGTCTCAAAATTGGATTCTACCTAGAATAGAATTTTTTCCCTATAAAAACTTGCCGTAAAAATTTAGTGTAAGTATGTGTCAATAGAAAAACGTTGCCTACTTACATCATTATTTGATATATTTCATTGGAAGATTACTATCAACGATGTGAATGTGAGTAACCATAACTACATCCGTATCCATCTATTTTTCAAAATAAAAATGTTACCTTTTCAATTAGTCTTAGTTAATATTATTCTTTAATGGATTAAACGATACGAATTTTTTAAATATAAGATAGAATAAAATGTGTATAATACATCTTTCTAACTGCATATCGTTCAACACGTCATAAACTTGACCACACCCAAAAACGAATAATCACAATCACTGAAAAATCAGAATATTTAGTTATAATCAAGTCCAAAATGTTTCATCGAATCAATTAATATGTTGATATATTTACAGATGAAATTGTATGTTAAATATTGTAGATGTTCTTTGTCAAAGTGTCATTGTAGAGAAATGAAACAAAATAAATTTCTGCTTTTCATGTCAGTATAGTGTAATATTGATGTGATTTGATAATTATCATAACAAGTGACAATTTATTCATTCTTTATAATTATGACATTCCGAAACAAGATTCAACGAAGATTATTTAAACTTCTTAACAAATTATAGACTGTTACACCAGAGCTCAAAACAAAGCCTGACTTAGGAAACGTTAGTTCGTTTCAGGTTCTGAGTTATGCTTCCTGAATAGCTAATTATTGTTTATTATCAACATTATTTTATTTTTATGTTAAATTTTCCATATTAGGGTATGGGTGTGGAACTGGATGTTATGTAAACTTGACAAGCGCACTGATATCAAACCTCACCTACACCAACACTGAGACATCTATCCACATTCACACCCTGTTCTTACTTATTTTCACTGAAATGAAACACGAAATTTACTCTTACAGCCAGTATTTCATTTATTTGCTCATGTTTTGCATCAGAGAGAGAACAGAAGAGGTATTAACAAAGTAGTTGGTAATTTCATACAGCAGCATCACTTATGCGTCTTACGCAAATTAATCCCATTTCCTTTTTTTGTTCTGCACTTCTTAAATTTAAATATCAACGAAGGAAAAAACAAGTAACATTCACCGATTTTGTTCGTGGCAACTAGTTGACGAAAAAAATAACTTTGATGCATATAATGCTACATCCAATCATGTTTTGAAATTTTCTCTCTAGATCTTAGTTATCAATTGGATCATCTTGTCCGATTCTTAATTGATACTTCCTTCGACTATATAAAGATGGCTAAACCAGCAGAAACACTCAAACTTGTCAAAGTATTATTTTCTTACGATGCAGCACATGATGATGAATTAACCATTCGACCAGGTAGTATCATCTTGCTTCTTCTTGACTATTCTTACCAGTGTATATTACTAGGCGATATCATCATTTTACTCGAACGTCGATTTGATCAATGGTGTAAAGGTAATCTCCGTGGCTCCATCGGTTTGTTTCCAGGAAACTTTGTACAAGAATTGTGATGGTGCTTTTTGTTATTAATATATATCTTTATTTCTCTCTTATCCATCTTTCTTCAATTCATCTCACTTTACATAAAATGTTATTATGTGTTACGTGGCCCTAGCTGACGCATTGTCTGTGTAACGGTGTGATACTTTGTTAACAAATAAATCATAACTTCTGCGTTGTCTATTTCTATTCTAATTGGTATCATATCTGTACGGGTAGTTGACTTTTGATCATTCTTCTCTCATACTAGCCAATCGTTCGTTTGCAAGTGAAGAAAAGCTTGCGATATTGTGAACGTACGAAAGTTCAAAATACATGTAGAATAGGTGTGAATAGCAGAATAGTTTCGATTGTACCAACATTGCTCAACTATCTACATAGACAAAGTACTACTGTCGAAGCATATTTCTCTATTCAATATTCATGATTGTCTTCCGACTCAAAGTTTGAAATACAAGAATTACGCTAAGAATATTCATTAAAAAGTCAAGCCATACATGAGATCAGTTTCAGTACAAATGACCCTTATGTATCTGAGAAATGAGATCGATTCTGCAGTTTTGTTCAAGAAATATAAATCCATACGAAAAATGCCGACTGATATTGAGTTTCAAGGCTTTATTCATGAGATTGGCTGCATTCATTTCATCTTCATCTTCACTCTCATCGACGATAATCATAGAAGAAAAATAAGACTAATTTAACGATTGTCTTTCTTTTTATCTGAACAAGTCTTCTTCATTTTCTTCAACTATTGAAGAATCAGGGCTCCGCGTGGGATGGGATGGGACGAGAAAATCGTCCCATGGGACAATTTAGCTAATCCCATCCCATCCCATCGTCAAAATTTTTTTTTTCATCCCATCCCATCCCATGGGAATTGTAAGTCGTCCCATCCCATCCCATGGGATCCCATGGGATAACTTGTTTACTAAAAAGCTCTTTTTAAATATAGATTACCTTTCATAACTTTTTTTGTCCTGTAATTTCAGCTTTCCTCAATATGTCCCCGTTGAGATTAGTTTACTTAACATTTGTTTCTCATACCAATCACATAAATCTTACTATTTTCTTCAAGGAAGAAATTGTAGATCTAGAAAGTTAAAATTTCAGAGAACATCGACGAATACGATAGTAAATTCATCGAAATCTGTTGAGATTCGTTTGAATGTGCTGGGATTACTCAGCGTCTGGATTCACTTGTTATATTGGAAAGTTTCAATTCCATGCCTTAAGTATTAGAAAGAAATAACGCTTCCTTAATTCATTTTCTACTCATGAATTTTTCGTTTTTTCTGAGTATCGTTACTTTTTTACGTTTAGAAAAAGCTGCTGAAGATCCTTTCATAATATATACAATCCAGTAGATTTTTTTTAGACCTTTGTGAACTTCACTGAAATACCTAGTTCTTAGGATTGAAATGAATGCATCAAGATTTGTTGTCCACCGATTCGTTTTCTCTATAGGAAAACTTATAAAAAATGGCGTTGAATATTGGTTTCTGGTAAAGATTTCTTATAACCATATGCTGTTATGTAAATAATGACTAATTATAATGGTAGAGTGATCAGAATATAAATTAGTTGAAAGCACATAGAATTCCTCAAAAACAGTTTTAGTTCCCGTGCGTTAAACTTATAAAATGATTTATATTTTTTCATGAAAAATAGTATAGGAAGGTCGGAAAAGCACTTATTTTTGTTGAAACGAAAGACTAACTACGAGAGAGTATAATAAGTTCCACTACTCATTGATCGTATAAAATACTTTGAATTCATGTTTCGACAGAAAAAAATTGTATTTTTTCATGGAAACAAAAGCAAAATATCCCATGGGATTAGACCTTCGTCCCATCCCATCCCGTGGGATAGGGCCCTCATCCCATCCCATCCCATGGGACACTTTTAAGTTTTTCAATGTCCCATGGGATGGGATGGGATGGGATTATCCCATCCCACGCGGAGCCCTGTGAAGAATACTCTTAGTCTGATCTCATCATCTTCTTATAGCTGTTTTCTAATTGGGATAATTTTTTCTGATATATATTTGAGTTATTTTGAAAAGTAGAAATAAATTCATCTTTCCTTGAATTCATCAAAATGATTCATTTCATTGCAATATCATTCATGCAAAAATACAAGTCAATAGATATAACAAGACGACCAAATTTTTAGTATTTGCCATGAATAAATAGGTCATAGAGACCTATTTAGTTCGATTTTTCTTTGATTGTATGATGATTAGTGTGTATGAAAAGTACTGAATGATAAGTATTCAACAAAGTCATATGATGATATTGTTAAAGTGAATATTATCATAGACAGTTTGATTT